TAAGAATATGAAGTCGGATTTTTGAAAAACGAAACGGATTTTGAGATATATGGAAATTACAATTATAGGTGTTTCCGAAGCACATTTTCGGGCATTTTTGGGGTCGTTTCAATTACACAACCTTCCCATATCAACTTTTAATTCTCAAACACAACTATATTACTTGGGTTCTATTCAAATTAATAATTTCCAATATTGCAACGTTTAATAAGGAAGTATAAGAGATTATATTATCTCCCTCTTGAGATAATTTGTGCTCGAACGAGAGTCATGACTTTTCTTGACCTTGCAATACATAACATAGGGAACTCTCCCACACTTTCTGTCATGATCCAAAAATAGAGGTGATGACACTTGTCTATTCCCCCAAAAAAAGTGAGCCTCAACCCAATGAAATAAAAGAATTGCGGAAAAAGAAACAAGAACAAGATAAAAGCAAAAAACTTACCCATTCTATAATACCCCCAAAACTTGGTTGTCATGTGTACAAGCCACTAATATATAAAGTGCGGAAATAAGAAATAAGTACAAGTCTCAATGTCTTTGTTTCCCAAATAGAACAAAGCATAACATAAAGGAAAAAGAGGTCTTGCTGGAATGATAAACAGTTACCTCTCAAGTCTTTCAACAAGCCTAAAAAAAGGGAGAAGAAGAAGAGTGATCATGCAGTACTAGGGTCGAACCTACACAAGTGTAGAAGCAAGGAGTGAGTACCAAACAACACGGTACTCAACAAGCAACCTGATATGCAAAACAAATATAGCTAGGAAACGAATACTCTTTTCATCCCAATCGAACCTCCTAAAACTACAACCTGTATAGAAATCAGTCCAACCTAACAATAGTCACAGTTCAACAACCAACATGCATCAAGTATGTCAATCATCTTCATAAGTAACAAGTAGATCAATCACAAATGTCAAATGTATCAAATCATAATAGTCAACTCTTGCCGAAACTATTTCCCTTCGACACAATATCACTAGCCAGAACCATTTTCTATCGACTTTATATCATATCACTAATCGAAACCATTTCCCTTTGACTTAATATCCCTAGACAGAATCATTTTCCATCGGCTTTATATCACATCATTAGTTGGAACCATTTACAATCGGTTTTATATCACATCACTAGCCAGAACCATTCCCCTTCAGCTTTATATCATATCACTTACCTGAACCATTTCCTTTCGGCACAATATTACTAACTGAAACCATTTCCCATCAGCTTTATATCACATCACTAGCCAAAATCATTTCCCTTCGGCTTAATGTCACATGTCTCATCATGGTGTACAACAATCAAGGCACATAAACAATTTCACCCCATTTGAAAGAGACAACAATTCAAGCAATTAAGTCCACATTCATGCCACCAAAGTTTTTCATCAGTCAATCAAATAGGGGCCACACTAGGGCAATTCACAAAGCATTATGATCCACATATTGCCTTTTCATTAATCTTCTTTTTATTCATTAAAATTAATAAGGTGGAACAATGAGTCCATACCTTATTCTCATTACTCTCCATCACACAAAATGAAGAGAAATACATATTTCCAAGGTTTAGGAGGTCATTTGCCTCAATTCAATCAAATAGTCATCCAAGACTTGAGTCCGTCCCTTCCGAACAACGTCCAAAGCCACACAATCTAATTCAATCAAGTAATCACAATAAGATTTTGGAAATAACAATACTCATATCATACTCTTTGGAAAATGGGTCATTCAACTCGAAAAGTAAATTCTGAAAATGAGGTTTGAATCCAAAAATCTTTACTTGAAAATGTTACCAAAGGCATTTGGAACTCATTGGTGAAAACCATTTTAAAGAAGGTCTTAAAATAAGTTCATAATCACCATATGAGTTTAGAAGTCAAGTTCTTGAAAAATCTTGTCATTTGTCAATCAAAATATCAAGTTTTAATGTTGAAATCTATAAAAAATCAAAGGAATATGAAGTTTTAGGATCACAAAAGCTTACCAAATGATTCACAATAAATCTCTTCAAAATCGCCTCCTTGGATTTTAAGAAGGTTCAAAAATAAAAAATGGGGCTTAAATCTCAAAATTTACAGATCAAAAACCCCATCTAATGTCATAAAAGTGTCCATGAGTTCGCAAAAGCGAACCCTGCTAAACACTTGGCCTTTGATTTTGCGAAGGTCGTGATCGCCAAAGGGCCCTTTGCGATCACAAATGTCAGGCCATTTAGACCTTCGCAAAAGTGAGGTTCGTAAAAGCGATCAACCTTTTGCAATCGCGAGGCACACCAAGTACCAGAAAACTAGCTAACACAAAATTCAACAAAAAGACCCTTTAGATTTCTTTCGGAACCCCGTACACACAAACCATATAAGTAAATTTACTAAATGACATGACCCAAAGTAGACCCTAGACGTAACATGACATATAGAATCCTGAGAGACCCTACACAAACCACTTAACATACATCATACAAGATAATAGAAACAAAAGAGTTTAAAAGATAACATTTCATACAAAAGAGTTTGACGAAAGGGGAAGTCTAAACATAAGTCTCAAAGTCATCTATTACTTCATAAGAAAAGTGATTGGGCAGTAACCCATACATCACATACAAAGTCTGAAAACGAAAATGACATGAAAGCAATAAAAAATCTTGGACCTCGGATCATGAGGACTCACCAATCTTCAAAAATCTCAAAGGATCAACTATACATAAGTATGGGGAATAGGAGTGTTGTACCCTGCAATAGTAAAACAATTTAGGCACAAGTATGCATTAGTACAAGGAATGTACCAAGTATTATAGCAATGCATTAGAGTTATGAAATCATGCTAAAAAGACCTTATATGACATGTAATGACCAAGATAAATAATAAAATAGCATGTTAGAAAAAATAAATCATAATCATGGTCAATGCAAGCTAACCATCTTAAAAAAACATATGTGAGATACTTTAGAAAGTAATCTTAGTTCATTATTGTGGGAAATTTACCTTTAACCGACATAAACCATATGAGCTATAACATGAAATTTAGTGTCTATCCCACACCGAAAAGAAATATCCTTACTTGCCAAGGTAAGAACCATAAACTTGAGCTAAAGTGAATCCAGTAGCTAATGTCTCTCTAAGACAAACCTATGTTGACACATAGTTATGGGACATGAGTAATCACTGCTAGTCCACTGGGTGCTAAGCATAAATACCACAGAATTATCATTAATTATATTCATCTTATTATCCATGTAAAGACACAATTAAGTAGCAAATCTAAGCTAGACTTCATTTAGAATAGTTCCTTAATCTTGATTCAACTTAGGTGAGAAAACATTTCAACCTTATGAATCCTTTTGTGAGGAAACCTTTTCACAATCATGTTTTGAGTAGTATGTGTGAAATCCTTTCATAACAACAACAATAATAACATCGATGCTTTACTCTCAAACCAACCTTAAATCATTTATATAAATTTCATAAAGAAACATGCATATCTTCATAAATTCATCTTTCATGGTTCATAAGCTTCATCATATGATTATAGTCTAGAAATCATGGATCATGCATGGGTTCACATGGATTCAACTTAAAAACATTAAATTACTTTAATTGATGCACAAAAGGATAGAAAACAATCAGTTTGATCACAATTTAAAAGAACCCATGAAGATTGAATAAAACCCTAACTTTGATTGGAGAATACAACTTGTAAAAATTAAAGAATTTAGGAACCGTATGTAGGAAAGGACTCCATAGGTGAATACTATCATACCTTAGCAATCACGTCCCACAAAAATGGTGAATTGGAGCCCTTCAAGCCAAATACTAGCTTTTTCCTTCCACAGTTCTTGAGAGAAATTTGGGGTGATCTTGGAGGGGATTTAGGAAGTTTAAAATAATGATTTAGAATGGGTAGTTTTTAGGTTTAGAATACTGATATAGGGCTTAGTATTAGGTTCAAAACGACCTATTTTAGGCATTAATTGATTAAGGAAAAGACTAAAAATCCCTTAAAAATAACTACCGACCCCCATCTATGGTTTGGACCTATGGACTGTACTGGTCAACTTTAGAAATTGATCAGAGACTCTTAATTGACCAACTTTTTGACAGATCTCATGTACGGCTCATAGGTTTTTCTTCGAACTGTACATACCAACTGTAGAAACCAACTTTAAGCTCTAAGATTTCACTAAGTCTAGGGTCACCTACGAGACCTATCTATGAGTGGTACATGAAATGACAGGTCATCCTGGTGAACCATACAAAGGATACTAGGACTTGTTTTGAAAAAAATATTTTTTTACTTCCTACGGTTGCCATCTACGACCCGTAGAAACTTCTATGGTCCGTAGATGGGACTCATAAACACATACACCAGCCTAAAAACTGCATTTTCCTTCTTTCCAAATTTGAGGTGTTACACTAAACTCGATGTATGGGACTTAATGAAACTGTCGAAATACAAATTTGAGGTCTCCTTGACTCGACATTTGTGAAAGTCACAAGAAACTAATATACTGCTTAAAAAGGCTAAATCAAGCTCAATACCTCTGAAAATTCAATCAAGACCTCTCTTAGGCCTAAAATCATCCTTCGAATCCAACTGATATCTTTGAATTTCGATCCGAGCATCCGGACCCTGAGTATTGACCAAAGTCAATCTAGAGGCTAAAAAATACACAAATTTATAACTTAGGACCTTAAATCCTCAAAAAGACCCCGAACCTGAAACTAACAACTCTCATAGACCAATTTCCACATTTCGGGACTGATGGAATCAACTAAATTATATTCTGACACTCAAAATCCAAAGGACAACAAAAACTACTTTTTAATAACTTTGGCCTTTCAAGCTCAAATCTTTCAAAATTCACAACTTTTTACTAAAAGTTTGAAACCAATTTTCAAAACTCAATCAGGAGTATTTCAGGGTCAATATTGGGAGGGACAAAATGGTAATTTTATAAAAATTATCAAAAATGACCAACCAGGTTATTACATTAGCCACTACTAAAAACCATATTCATCCTCAAACATAAAGCAAAAGAGAGTATCTGAAGTCACGAAAAGCTGAGGATAACTGGCATGTATATCCGACTCTGTCTCCCAAGTCGCCTCACCAACTGAACAGTGTTTCCACCACGCCTTCATTGAAGCAATCTCCTGGGTCCTAAGCTTTTGGACTTGCTTATCCATGATAGCTATATGCTCCTCCTCAATGGGTAAATCTAGACCCAACACATTTGAATTAATAGAAAGCAGATAAGATTCATCCAACACGTACTTCCAAAGTATGGAGACATGGAACAAATGATGCCTAGATGACAAGCTAGGTGCCAAGGCCAACTTATAGGCCATCTCTCCCACTCGGCTCAAAATTTCAAAAGGTTCAATGAATCTAGCACTAAACTTTCCCTTCTTTCCAACCTTATCACACCTATCATGGTGAAACTTTGAGCCAAACATGGGTAATAGTGTGTAACCATAATGGTTCATTTGCTATCCGGCGGGGATTGCCTTAATTTTCATCTGAATATGATCTAAAAGTGGGCAACTTCTTAGTTTTCCACTTTGTTCAGGATGATCAGTACATCATTGTTAAAATATTTGGAACAAGCGCTTGTGAAAAGATCAACTTCTACAGTGACATTGGAAAGGAAAACAAAAGGCAAAGATTTATCGGGAAGAAACTACTCCTTTTTACAAATAACATCTAGTTCACATTTAGATGTTGAGATAGACACAGAAACACATTTATCAAATTACATAGTAGAGGATCCACTGATGGCTCAAGAGGATAAGAAATCAAAAGAAGCATTTAAGTTTAGTAGGCTTTCTATTCACAACGAATTGTTAGTATTCTTTTGTTGTTTTTTGTGTATGTGTTCTTTAATATACATATTAGGTGTCATGACCCAAAAATGCACGTGATGACACTCTTATAAACCCACCAAAACAATTCAACCTAAAATCCAACAATACAAAAGAAATGCGGAAGATAAATAAAAAATAGCATAAAAGCGAAAAATTTCATAAACACCCCCAAAATCTGGTTGTCACGTGTACAAGCCTCTAATGTATGAAAATTGAATTGAAAGATAAATACAAGTCTCAATGTCTTTGTTTCTCGAATAGAATAAAATATAAAATAAGGAACAAGAGGGGCCCCTGGGATGACAAGATGTTACCTCTCATTATATCATTTAAAAGCCTCAGATAAAGATAAAGATAAAGAAGAAAGACCGCACAGGTCTGGGTTCGGAACCTACACAAGTGTAGAAGCAAGGGGTAAGTACCAAATAACATGGTACTCGACAAGCGATCCACTAAACAATATAAAACTAAGCTAGAATACAAGTACTCCTTTCAACTACAACCTACATAGAAATCAGTTCAACCTAACAATTTACAGTACACAACCCATAAGACTTAACAATCATAGTCCATCAGTCACAGGTCAACAATCAACAAGTATCAAGTTTATCAACCACTAGTATCAAATATGTCAATCACAAGCATCAAGCATCTCAATCACAATTATCAATTTCATCAAATCATAACAGTCAAACACTTGCCGAAACTATTTCCCATCGGCACAATACCACTCGCGGAATCATTTCCCATCGGTGCAATACCAGTCGTCAGAACCATTTCAAAATCAAGTAAGACCCATAGATGTTACATGAAATCATAAATAATTTAGGTAAAATTGAATTTGTAAGTTGGAAATATTTGGGACTCAATGGATGAAAGGGATCCATTGATGAACTTCCCTCATACATTGATAAAGAAATCCCAAAAGAAATGGAGAAAAAATATACTTGAAGCTTGAACACTTGATTTGTCTTATTTGAAGCTTGAGAGGATTTATAGGGGATGAATATAGATGTGTTTAGGGAATTTGAGAGAATGAGAGGGTTTAGGTAGATTTAGAAGTTGAAAGGTAGTTATAGGTCTTAAAATTAGGGTTAAAACAACATAGTATAGGTATTAGATGCATAGGAAAAAACCCAGATACCCTTAATAAATAACTGTCGAATAGTCCTATGGTTTGGACCTACGGTCTGAAGATCTTTCTACGGCCCGTACTAGTCAACCATAGAACTAACTTCAGAAACCCAAAAATTTAATCAATTCCCGTGAGACCGCCCTACGGTCTGTCATTTCTTCTGCGGTCCGTAGAACCCAAGTTCAAGTCCAAAATTTCACTAAGTCAGGTCAACTTCTATGAAGCCATCTCAGTCCCGTAAAAGCTACTACGACTTGTCATCTTAACCTGTTGACTGAGGTCTCATGTTATTTCCTATGAATCCTTTCTACAAGGTACATCTATATCCCATCCAACACCCTACAGTTCATCCTATTCACTCGTAGGTCAAACATCAGCAACTTAAATTTCCCAAAAATCTTTCCCAGTGTCTATGGAACCCTTCCTAAGACTCGTTGGATTTTATACGGCCCATCGGTCGATCCGTAGTACCAGATCCCTGCAACATCTTATGAACTCTTTCTTTCCATCTTGACATTTCATGTTTTGAGGTGTGTTAATATCTCCCCTGGGAACATTCATCCTCAAATAGGACTCAAGCTAGCATGAATAGAGTAAGAGAGAAATTAACAACCCAACATGAATGTAAATTTCATCAAAATGCACATAAACATCGAGAAATCACTCCAAGCTAAATCATAACATAAAAATAAAATCTTTCATGATCATGCATGCATATGGAAACATAAAAATGACTAAGATGCATAATCCAAAAGAATTAATTATAAGGAGCTAATACCTCAAGTTAGAATAGGAGGGGAAGGAAAGATATGAGGATATTGAGACATCATATCGGCTTCGTCCTCCTAAGTAGCACCCTCAACTAGTTGATTCCTCCAAAGAACTTTCACAGAAGCAATTTCTTTATTTCTCAATTTCCAAACTTAACGGTCTAAAATCTCAATAGAAACTTCTTTATATGAAAGACTTTCTTTAACTCCCAAACATTCTTAAGGCACAATGGACATGGGATCTCCAACACACTTTATCAACAAAGAGATATGGAATACCGTATGTATCAATGTTAAATCATTAGGTAACTTAAATTCATAAGAAATCTTGTCAATACGTCTCAAAATCTGATATAGGCCCACATATCAGGGACTAAGTTTCCTCTTTTTCCAAACCTCATTACACCATTAGTGAAATTTTCAAGTAGACCTAATCATAAACATTAAATTCAAGTTATCTTCTTCTGACATCGATATAAGACTTTTGTCAACTTTGAGCCATTCTCAACCTTTCCTGAATAAGTCGAACCTTTTTCATTGCCTCATGCACCAACTCGGGTCCTATCAAAGCAACCTTACCAATTTCAAACAAACCAATAGGATACCTATAACTCCTACCATAAAGAGCTTCAAATCGTACCATCACATTGCTAGAAAGATAGCTATTATTATAAGCTAACTTAATCAAAGGCAAATGATCATCCCAATTACCCTTGAAATTAATAAATAAAGCTCTTCATATATCTTTCAAAGTCTGAATAGTATACTCAACTTGTCCATCGGTATGAGGGTGGAAATCGATACTAAGTTTCACTTGAGTACCAAGACCCTTCTGAAATGACTGCCAAAACTAAGACGTAAAGTACGTACCATGATCAGATATAATACACAAGGGCACTATATGCAACCTTAGCATTTCCCAATTATAAATCTTAGCATACTCATTTCTGTCTAGCAGACTCCATGACAACCCTAGTGAACATCCAAATATTTGTCTAACAGTAATTCATGAAGGTACTCAGGCTGAAGTGAGTCTATCTTTTAATACTTGGAAATTCTTCTCACAAGCCTTTGTCCATAGGAATTTCACCTTTTTTTGAGTGAATGTCGTCAAAGGCAAAGCAATAGAGGAGAATTATTCCACAAAATTTATGTTGTAACCAGCAACCCCAAGAAACTTTATATATCTAAAGTGAACCAAGGTCTAGGCCAATTCTTAACCGCTTCGGTTTTTTTAGGATCAATTTTAGTACTTTCACCGGAGACAATATGGTCAAGGAAATTAATAGACCTCAACCAAAAGTCACATTTTCTAAACTTAACATACCATTCATGATCCTTCCGAATTTTTAATACAATCCTCAAATGCTCAACATGTTCATGCTCACACTGTGAGTAAATTAAAATATCATCAATGAATACAATCACGAACATGTCGAAAAATATTGAAGATCGTATTCATCAAATACATAAATATCATTGGGGTATTAGTCAACCAAAAAGACAACCAAAAACGCATAATGACCATACGTACCAGGTTCAAAAATTCATCTTCAGAACGTCATTTTCCTTCACCCTCAATTGGTGATAACCTGACCGGAGGTCAATATTGGATAACGAACTCGAATCTTGGAGTTTATCAAACAAATCATCAATCCTTGAAATTAGATACTTATTATTAATGGTAAACTTATTCAATACACATTCAGAGGGAACCGTCCTTCTTTCGAACAAACAAAATCTTAGCAACCCATGGTGAGATAGTCGATCCAATAAATCATTTATCCAATAAGTTTTTCAACTGATCCTTTAATTTCATAAGTTCTATGGGGGTCATACGATAAAGAGAAATAGAGATAGGCTTCATATCTGGGGAAGGTTAATACTGAAGTCTGTATCCCTTTAGGGAGGAATACTGAAAAGATCGTCAAGAAACACTTCCAGAAACTCATTTACAATTAGAACTGACTCAAAAGTAACGGTTTTAGAATCTATAACTCTAACCCTAACAAGATGATAAATACAATCTTTAGAAATAATTTTCCTAGCATTTTCAAGATATGAACTAACCCTTAAGAACATAGTTCCCCCTTCCCATGACATGATAGGTTCGTTCGGAACCTTGAAGGTGAAAAATCAGGTCCTACAATCTATGGAAGCATAACATCCATAAAGTTGATCCATCCCAAGAATAACATCAAAATATAACGTATCAAGCTCTAAAATACCAACATGATTGACTCCATGGGAAATAAAAACAGGGATTTTTCAATAAACTCTCTTAGTAACAATAGAATCACCAACTGGAGTAGAGAAAAAAAAAGACTAGAAAGGATCTCAAGACCAACATCAAATCTTATGACCACATAAGGGGTAACAAATGACAAAGTAGAACTTGGATCAAGCAAAGCATACACATCAAAATGAAAGACTTTGAATATACCAATCATAACATCCAGAGAACCCTTATGATCCTGTCGAGTCTAAATTGCATAGAACCCATTCTGATATGGAGCACCCGAACCAGAACCACTAGGTTGAGCTTTCCTACCATCCCTTAATTCCCTTAGTTGCAATCATCAGACAATCTCTCATCTTGTAACCACTCTTCCCACAATTAAAGCAATTATCCGTACCAACTAAATCATTTTTCTCAAATAATTCTTGCCACACCTTTGGTAAGTGTGAGTAGAAGATCCATTACCACCACTTCCTTG